GTATTGGCCAATACACTCCAGTATTCTTGCCTGGAGAACCCCCCTGACAGAGAAGCCTGGCAGGCCACGGTACATAGGGTTGCAAGGAATTGGACATGACCGAAGCAGCCCCACATGCACAGACGCCAGAACTTTTTAGCCTGTGGCAGCTCTGCCCCAGCAAGGGTTGAGCATGAAGGTGGCGCAGCTGCCTGGGTTGCGGGGACCCTGTGCAGCACCAAATGTGCAGGGACACGGACTGCCTCAGCTGGAGGCTCTTTCCTCGAGCCTCTGGTAGCTGGTGATCAGGCCTCTTTGGCTAGTCTTTCTCCACAGCTCCGCCCGTTCAGGCACTTAGAGGGCTCGCCTGCCTGTGTTTGGTGAGTCAGGCACACAGTGGGGCCCCCCTGGGTGGGGTCCTGCTCTGCAGATTGGCACATCAGTCACTTAAAGGGGCACCCTGGCTGGGGTCCTGCTCTGCAGATTGGTGCATCAGTTACTTAAAGGGGCACCCTGGCTGGGGTCCTGCTCTGCAGATTGGTGCATCAGTCACTTAAAGGAGCACCCTGGCTGGGGTCCTGCTCTGTACACTGGCGCATAAGTCACTTAAAGGGGCACCCTGGTGGGGTCCTACTCTGTAGATTGGCACATCAGTCACTTAAACGGGCACCCTGGTGGGGTCCTACTCTGTAAATTGGCACATTAGTCACTTAAAGGGGCACCCTGGCTGGGGTCCTGCTCTGTAGATTGGAGCATCAGTCACTTAAAGGAGCACCCTGGTCAGGTCCTGCTCTGTAGATTGGCACATCAGTCACTTAAAGGGCACCCTGGTGGGGTCCTCCTCTGTAGTCCAGTGTGTGAGGCATTTGATGGACCAGCCTCTCTATTTCAGCTGCCGATGCTGGCGTGTGGGGAGAGAGAGGCTGTGGTGATGGCTCCATCCCCTACGCGTGACTCAGCAGTACTGCCTTACTTCCATGGCTGCCTAACTTTCCTCCACAGGCATCTCCCACCACAATCTCCTCCTCCACATCTCCTTGGTCTGTCTCTCCACAGTCAACAGCAGCCCTGGCCCTGGGATTGCTCCACAGTCCCTATGCTCCAGCTCCCATCTGTGGTGCCTTCTAGGGGACCTGCCTCCCTGCCCGGGGTATGTATGGCTGTGGCAAGGACTGTCTGATTCTCATTCCATGTGTGTGTGTGTGTTAGTTGTTCAGTCGTGTCCGACTCTACTTCATGGACTATAGCCTGCCAGGCTCCTCTGTCCATGGAATTTTACAGGCAAGGATACTTGAGTGGGTTGCCATTTTCTCCTCCCTCAGTCAGTCAGTCAGTCCAGTCACTCAGTCGTGTCTGACTCTTTGCAACCCCATGAACTGCAGTGCTCCCTGTCCATCACCAACTCCCAGAGTTTACCCAAACTCATATCCACTGAATCAGTGATGCCATCCAACCATCTCATCCTCTGTCGTCCCCTTCTCTACCTGTCCTCAATCTTTCCCAGCATCAGAGTCTTTTCAAATGAGTCAGCTCTTTGCGTCAGGTGGCCAAAGTATTGGAGTTTCAGCTTCAGCATCAGTCCTTCCAGTGAACACTCAGGACTGATCTCCTTCAGGATTGACTGGTTGGATCTCCTTGCAGTCCAAGGGACTCTCAAGAGTCTTCTCCAACACCACAGTTCAAAAGCATCAGTTCTTTGGTGCTCAGCTTTCTTTATAGTCCAACTCTCACATCCATACGTGACTACTGGAAAAACCATAGCCTTGACTAGACAGACTTTGTTGACAAAGTAATGTCTCTGCTTTTTAATATGCTGTCTAGGTTGGTCATAACTTTTCTCCCAAGGAGTAAGCATCTTTTAATTTCATGGCTGCAATCACCATCTGCAGTGATTTTGGAGCCCAAAAAAATAAAGTCAGCTGAATGCCCACAATCTGTCTGGCAATGTTCTAGACACTGGCGACAATAGGAAAGTTCCTGAAATTTACACTGGAGTAAGAGAGATAGATGATAAATATACACATACAAGAGACCTTACAGTAGGAATACTATAGAAAGACAGTAAACAGGGAATGGGCTAGCAAGCGACTTTTATATTGAGAAGTAATGATTGCTAAGAATGTTAAATGGCTTTCTAAAAAGCGGATGTCTGAGTTGAGACCTGAGTGACATAAAAGAACCAGCCATGAAAATCAGAGTGAAAGGCAGCCCTGACTGAGAGAACCTCCTGAATGAAATTCTGAGGTGAGAAAAGCTTGATGTGTTTCAGCCCAATTAAGAGATAAGGGCAGAGGGGCTGGCAAGGAGCCAAACTGTATAAGGTCTTATAGGCCATGATGAGAATTTTGGATTTTCTTCTACATACAATAGGAAAATGTGGATGACGGTAATTAGAGTTTAATGCCTAGACTATGAAGATTTAGGACAAGGGCTGATGATTGCAATTAAATTACTTCTAAGGTATTAATTATGTATCCCTACATATATGGGCTGGACAAAAAAGTTGTTCATGGTATGCCTGGGAAGCAGAAGAAAAATGACAGAGTACCTTCACATCAACCAGCTCACGAAACACAGGATTCTAGAGTCACAGAAAGCTTCATGATCATCTGGCTTAACATTCTCTACATTTAGGGATAGCCTAACTCAGTTAAAGAAAAATAATTTGTGAATTAGTACCAGTACCAGACCCTCATAACTCTTTTTATAAGGCCCAGAATACCAGGGATAACTAATTCAAAGGGTAAATGAAAAATTATTTATAGCCTCACAAATAAGTATCTTGGTGAAGGTACAAATCTGTTCTTGATTATTCATATCTAATGATAAAGATAATAATAAAAATTATCATGTATTGATTACCTACTTACATATACTAAATTGAAAGCTCTACATGGATTTATTTAATACTTGAAATAGCCCTATGAGGTAGGTATATGAACAAAGGAACTAACAGCCACAAAGAATTAAGAAACCTGCCCAAGATCACCCTGCTGCTAAATATCAGTACTGCAGACTGTCTTTCTTCCTCAAAATCTGCTACATTGTGCTGCAACGGATAATATTGAGTATACATTGAAAACATTTATTTTGCTTCTCTGTTTTACAGAACTCAAACACACATGCACACACAGCACACACATATACACAGAATGCTTCCTAACAGTAAAATGCGTCAGTCTGCAAATAAAAGTATTGCTGTATTAATAGTTTCCAATCCTCATCTCTAAAATGAAAAGGTGATGTGATCTAAAGTCCCTTTAACATGCTCTAATTGTTCTATGACTTGTGGTTAGAATTACTTCTAACTCTAAAATTTTGTAATTTCTTCAGCATGTCAGGTACTGACATTTTGCATATCTACAAATAATAAATATCAAGGTAGTCTAGGACATAATTTTTTAAACCTTAGATTTCAAGTGATTGCTGCTGCTGCTGCTGCTAAGTCACTTCAGTCATGTCCGACTCTTTGCGACCCTATGGACTGTAGTCTGCCAGGCTCCTCTGTTCATAAGATTCCCCGGGCAAGAATAGGGCAGTGAGTTGCCATTTCATTCCCCAAGGGATCTTCCTGACCCAGGGATCCAACCCACATCTCTTACATTTTCTGCACTGGCATACAGGTTCTTTACCACCTAGCACCACCTGGGGTGCTAGTCATTTGTAGGTAATAAAATCAATTTAGTGAGCACTGATCACGTTATGAAAAATAAACGGAATGTCAGACAATCATTGTGCTGTAAAACTTTTGTTTCATGGATGACTTTGAAGGGTTTAGGACTTTTGTGGAGGAAGTAACTGCAGATGTGGTGGAAATAGCAAGAAAACTATAATTAGAAATGAAACTTTAAGTTGCAAATGAACTGCTGAAATTTCATGATAAACTTAAATGGATAAAAGCTACTTCCAATGGATAAGCAAAGAAAGTGGTTTCTTGAGATGGAATCTACTCCTGGTAAAGATGCTGTGAAGACTGCTGATATGACAAGGGATATAGAATATTACATACACGTAGTTCATAAAGCAGGGTTTAAGAGGATTGACTCCAATTTTCAAAGAAGTTCTACTATGAGTAAAATGCTATCGAACAGCATTGGTGCTGCAGAGAAATCATTCCCGAAGGAAGTCAATGAAGTGGCAAACTTCACTGTTGTCTTATTTTAAGAAATTGCCACAGTCACCTCTACCTTCAGCAACCACCACCCTGATCAGTCAGCAGCCATCGACATTAAGGGAAGACCCTCCACCAGCAAAAAGATTACAACTCACTGAAGGCGCAGATAATGGTTGGCATTTTTTTTAGCAATAATGTAATTTAAAATTTAGGCATGTACATTTTTTACACGTAATGCTACTGCACACTTAACAGACTACCATATAGTGTAAAAATAACTTTTATATGCACTGCGAAACCAAAAAAATTGTGTAACTTTGTTTTATTATGTGATATTTGCTTTATTTCAGTGGTCTGGAACCAAACCCACAATATCTTTGAGTCATGACTGCATTGCACATAACTTTCAGCAGAGAAGAGGAAGATAAGCTCCTATTCTTAAATACTTTGGACTTCATTTCTGGAAGTAGACATTCATCATTTATTAGTGTCATTTCACCTATTCATTTAGACAACATGTTCTGAGGGGCTTTATTTATATACCAAGTTCTGAAGATAGAAAGTTGAAGAAGAGATAGACATTGCTGACATTAGATATCTCCAACATGAGCAATATGTTGTATCAGTTTGACCTGAGAGGTTATTCACTCCAGAGGAGCCTGGTGGGCTATATAGTTCATAGGGTCGCAAAGAGTTAGACACAACTGAGCAACTAACACACACTCCAAAGGAAAATACATTTTTCATCCCTCATACAAATCAGTGTTATCTTGAATGAATGAATGGAACCAATAAAGCAATTTGAGATAAAACCAGAATCCAAATGAGCGGCTGGGTTTCCATCTGCTTTTTTATCACTGGTCCAGCCCCAGAGTAGCAACCACAAGGCACTGAAGGCTGCGCTTACCTGTTCCTCCACGGGTGGCTCCTCCGGATTTAGAGGGATTTTTGATTCAACATCCTCCCACTTCGGAAGGTGGTTAGAAGCTGCGGTGTCAGCAGCAATGTCACCATTGTGTACCTTGATGCCATTTGTTCCCTGGCAGGAGGGAGGAACGTGGTGAAAGAAAAGGCTCTTCTGTGGCATAGGCAGAAACCAGGCCACAGCGAAGGCCACAGAAACACAGGTGAGAGAGATGACATTCAGGCTGAACAGGGACCAGGATGCCACTGAGACGAGGATCTGCCCCAGGACAGAGCCCACTGTGAAGCCCACCAAGGTGGCACTTCGACAGTAGCTCGTGACTTTCTGGTACATGCTCAGGTCTACCACACTGTAGATGTAGGAGTAATAGGCAACTTCAGTGGCAGTGGCGATGCCATAGAAGAATTCCAAGAATTGAATGGCCAGCAGTCCCTGGGCATAGAGCAGCATGAACCAGGTAACAATAAGGCTGAGTCCCTGGAGCAGAATGACAGGCTTATAGCGGAGGTAGTCTGTGGCAAGGAACACAGGAAACAGCAGCACCAGGTAAGAGTAAGTCCATACTGGATATATTTCATTGAAGACCTGGTAGAAAAAGGATAAAACTCTGTTAGTGACCTCAAACAAACTGGAATATTCATAACAATTTATTCTTATAAAACAATCTACCATAACCTCAAAGATCTTATTCTTATCAAACAAAGAAATCTCATCAACAGTTCTGAGAATTGCTTGGAATTCACTTACCTGTTTCCATCCCATCATCTCTTCCTAATATCTTCCCTATTCGAGGCCTAGTGCAATGCCTTCCTCATCCTGGAAGACTTGGCTACAGTTGATTGTATTTGTAATCTAACATCCAAAGCTCTCTTGACACTGCTTTCTATGTGTCACTCTCTTCAATTACCTCATAGCACTGCTTCTTAACTATGGTTACACATCTCTCAAGGAGCTTTAAAAATTTTGGATGCCTAGCCACAGGCATTTTTTCAAAACTTCCCAGGAGATGTTAATATGAACCAGAGTTTAGAACCACTGCTTTATAGGTTCTTTCAGAGTGGACTTGACTTTCATTTGCACAGCCTGCATACTGTACTTGGCTGAATAAATGCTTTGGAAACAAATGTTTTGGAATAATCATCAGTTCTTAGTTTCAGCCACAGAATGGGGAACATAGATCCTACCACTGATTAGGTTTTTCTGTTATTAAGTTTCACTTCTTTGGGGTAACAGGAATAGATCAAGAAGGTAACTCTGTCCTACAGTCTTAACAGAGTAACAATCTATGAATGAAGCATTATAAGCAGCTCTGGTGCCTTTCTTTTTGGGTGTCTATGATATGGAAAAAAAAAAGGAAGGTTTTGTTTTCTTTTTCATTAATTTTTCACTGGAAGACAGTAGAAATAATTTTTAAACCAAAAAGACCCCAGCTGGAAGTCTGGTTCCATCATTTGCCGAATGATTTTTAAGTTGATTTTTTTTTTTTTAAGTTCCCTTTAGCCATCTCCATCATCAGTAAAAGAAAAGGAAAACCTATGCCACAGGGTTGTTTGTTGCAAGGGCTAAATGAGAGAACACATGTAAGTCACTTACTCCACTATCTTTTCATAGGTCTAAAGACTTAAGGACTGAAGCTAAAACACAGACCACTTGAAACAATATCCATTAAATTAATTGATTTAAGTCTCCATTCTTCAAATAAGAATCATTTTAAGTAGGAGACTTTTTCCTTTTCTCACACCTACCCCAGAGCCTAGCAAATTCCTGGGGGCTTAATAATAAGTCAGTTTCTAAGTGATCATTAAGTTTAGATCAGTGGCCTCAGTTTTTAAGTGCTTTCTGAAAGGTAGTCCTGCTAATAGGCTGAATACTTTGTGATGGAGCGATATAACCCTCTACTTTTTTTAATTCTCATGTATACCTCAGTTCACCCAAGTATACATGGACTAACTGTTTTAAAGTTTTAGAGGAACAATATAGTAAAAAATTATTATAAAATATTTGCCAATGCAAATAACAACTATAAAAGGAAAACATAATCAAATATACATTCCAGACTTGATTTCTGATTGGCTGAATATCAAAAGTGATTCATCTATGGAGATTACTCAGCCACAAAAAGGAATGAAGTCAGCTGAACTGAGGTGGAGGAAACTAGAGTTTGTTATATGGAGTGAAATAAGTCAGAAAGAGAAAAACAAATATTGTATATTAATGCATATATATGGAATCTAGAAAAGAGTACTGATGAACCTATTTTCAGGGCAGAAGCAGAGATGCAGAAGTAGAGAATGGACTTGTGGAAAGAAGAGCAGGGGAAGGAGAGGGTGGGATGAACTGGGTGAGTATCACTGAAACATACACACTACCATGTGTAAAAGAGCTAGTGGGAAGTTGCCGTGTCACAGGGAGCTCAGACCACTGGCCTGTGATGACCCCAAGGGCTAGGGTGGGGTGGGAGGGAAGTTCAAGAGGGAGTGGATATATGTATACTCATGGCTGATTCACCGTGTTGTATGGCAGAAACCAACACACATTGTAAAGCAATTATCCTCCAATTAACAGTAAATTTGAAAAAAAAATGGAAAAAAAGAGTGACTGATCTAATAGCCTCACCTTCATGAATTCTGGTCTAATTTCTGTTTCTAAATCATTTAGCAACCTCCACTTACCAGGAAACTTTCTTGTGACTGAACATATACATAAAAGAATAACTGAGAACGGCAGAAATGATTCCGATCCACAAGTGTAGAAATTTTAACAAATGAGGAACAAAGTGTACTTGGCTGATACAGCACCGGGTCAGACACCTCTCAGCAGAAAACCAGAGCAGATAAGGGCAACCTTGAGATGAAAGTCCTGAAGAGTGAAGGCGTCCCTACAGACTTTGCACAGGTGTGTTCCATTAGCAAATTCCCACTTTTCAGCCTATAGTTTTAGATATTCTCCCATATCTTAAGTGTGAAACTGCCTCCTCTGGTTGACTCTGCATGTTTCTCCACTTGCACATTTTCCCCAACACAATACCACAGAGCTGTTAACCATCACAACTTCCTTTAAAAAATACTTTCCTTCTGTAACTCCATCTTCTTTGTTCTGCCATGCACTCCATGGGAGGTTCATTGATTCTTCACTCCAGTAATACTGTCTGTACTTTTTTCAATACTAGCTGTCACCCAGAGCTACCAAGTTTTTATTATATACATCTCATCCTTTCAGTTACCAATTTAAAGTGTTTATACTTATGAGTCTAATTCCACTCCTAACACAAAAACCACAATTTAGATAATGAAGATAAGGAAAAGCAATGCCAACCTGAAACAAAAATAAGGCAGGCAGGGGGAAAAAGACCAGATGTGTTCTCTTTAAGTTATTCTAAATAAGAAATCAGAATTTACTCCTAGGAGAGACATCAACCCAAGTGGACGGCCCCTTCCACAGTATTATCAGCAGTATAACAGAACATCTGTTACACACTATGCTAATCACCTCACCTGTATGACCTCATTTCATCCAAACAACGCTAAGAGGTAATTGCGTTTATCATCTCTTATCTTACAACCAAAGTAACTAGGCCTTAAGTGAATTGCCCAAAGTTATCCCAGCAAGTCACTGGCAGAGGGAGAACCTGACCTGGATATTCTGAATCTACCACATTCAGACGCCCCATTTCTTCAATCAGAAAACTGTTTTTGATTACCTACTATGTTCCCCCCTTACTTCTAATGCCGACAGCACCTTTTCCAACCTGTATGGGGTGCTTTTATGGGGCTGTCAAGAAGAAAGAAGACCAAACAACCTACAGAGCTTAGCCACTGGGTCTCCAAAAGTCTCCAAAAGAGGATCCCTTCTCAGGATAGTTAGGGAGTCTGGGATGGACATGTACACACTGCTATATTTAAAATGGAGAATCAACAAGGACCTGCTGTAAAGCACAGAGAACCCTTGCTCAATGCTATGTGGCAACCTGCATGGGAGCGGGGTTTAGAGGAGAATGGATACATGTACATGTATGGCTGAGTCCCTTCGCTGTTCACCTACAACTATCACAACACTGTTAATCAGCCATACCCCAATACAAAATAAAAAGTTAATAATAATAATAATAATAATAAAAGAAGATCCCTTCTCTCTCAGTGCCTCCAAGGAGAAGCTGTGGTACCAGGAAATAACTTCTTTGATGGATACTTTCCCTTCAGGAAACTTCCTACATGCAAAAATGTACAGATTACAGAGATTACTTTCTCATTGCCCATACTTGGACAATACCCTCTTATCTCAGGTAACATCTGCCATGCAAGCAAAGGGAATTGATTTTATTCTAAAGTGTCTTTCACAGATCTTTGGATCAGAGCTTGTTTGTGCTTTCTTCCGAGACACAAACAGTTAAGGAAAAACATGTTTTGTTTTAAACTCTAATTCAGCTTTAGACTTTTAGAATCAAGTTTCATTTAGACTACTAGTTAATAAGCACTTATTTGTACAACACTATTTCCAAACTGTATGAAGATTACAAAAACAAAGAATAAAGTGAGGTCTCAGTTCTCCAGGAGTTCTGAAACTAGTGAAGAATATATACACACAAATTATTGATAAGGGAGACAGGAAATACGGGGTTGCTTCTTTGAACTGGACCTTGAAGGATGAGAAAATCAGAGGCCAACAGAAAGATATCAAGAGTTCTGTAGAAGATTATCCCAAGCAGAGATCACATCTTTGAGCACAAGCCAGTAGATGAGAGAATGGATATGCTGGATTTATGACTGTAAGATTAACATGGAGTTTGAGCACATATTAATATAAGGCAAGAGGAAGAAGGATGGAGTAGGAGATAAGGGTGTTAAGAAGTAAGAACCAAATTCTGTAAGGCTCTGAATAGTAGGTACAGTAGTTTTAATATATTACATCGAATGCTTTAAAAACATCGCTTCTCTGGTGGTCCAGTGGCTAAGACACCACACTCCCAACATGGGAGCCCAGGTTCAATCCCTGGTCAGGGAAACCACATGCCACAACTAAGATCCAGTGCAGCCAAATAAATAAAATAGCCTGCTAGGCTCTTCTATCCAGGATTTTCCAGTCAAGAATACTGGAGTGGGTTGCCATTTCCTCCTCCAGGGGATCTTCCCCATCCAGGGATGGACCCCCCCCCATCTCCTGCACTGGCAGGCGCATTCTTTACTGCTGAGCCACTGGCAAAGCCCCAGAGAACAGTATTGAATGCAAATCCAATGCTGAAAAAGGTGAGAGGATAAAAAAGTTTTTGGTGATAAAGAGCTCTGTTTTATTAAAAGTTGGCTTTTAACCACTGAAATACAAATTTTAACCTATTTAAAATTTATAAAGTCATACAAGTTAACGGTTTTCCTATAATCTAAGGAAGAAATCCTTTGAGAATGGAAAGAGGAAATTCTGTCCTTTTTTCCTCCTTTTGTCTTTGGACCTGGTTAACAACAGCTCTGTCTAAGATGATCACATTTGGCCCTTCTAAAGTCTCCTGGAGGAAATATAAAATTCAACACAAATATCACTAGCCATGATTTGCAAATTCACTTTCCTAAAAAAAAATCATACAATATTAAGTAAATAAATAACTGTCCAGAGGTGAAAAACAAACACTCAGGAAGGAGAGCAAGTTGTGCTATTTATTTAAGTTATTAGAGATTAAAAAAATCTAGGATTGCAGAGAGGCTGGACAGAGCTATACTGCGCCTGACCAACAGAACAGAATCAGCCACAACTCTGAGGTTCTCAGAGACAAAGGACATCCTTTTCCAGACCTCTAGATTTCTCTTCAAACCCTGCCCTCTTCCTCCACTAATCTGCAGCGACAGAAGCGTGCTCTGTTTTCGTTACACATTCAGCAAATATTTCCTGGGCCTGGCACCCCTGCTTTATTGCACTACACCCCCCCCCCCAAAATATTTCATTCGTCGTAGGAAGATTTCTGATAATCAGGGCACATGATGGCACGTCACATAGCAATTCTGCCCAGGGCACTTGTACAAAACAGACTGGCTTTCAAAGAACAACACTGGAAGCATGTTTCTCCCCACTGTGCTTCTCTTTCAGGCAAGGTGCAGATCACATGGCAGGTCACATGAAACTTTAATTGTGAACGGCTTAAAAGTAGTATCATTTCTGCTTCAGAGGTCACACCTCAGATTCAGTAGTTGTTTGGGGTGTTCTATTAATAGAATCATTCTATTTAAGGAAGTCATGTTCCTTCTTCTAGAATCATTCTGTTCACAGGAGTTGGCCCTTTCAACTTCATTACTGTTTTTAACCAATATTCTAATTCAAACAGGTAATGAGTAACTGTTACAGTTCCTTGTGGAGCAGTCCATAAGACTGAGAAATAAAGCTGAAGTTGGGTAAAAGTTAATGCTACTTGCTAGCTGCAAGGCAATATGAGAAACTCAAATGAAATCCTCAGCCCAGGGTTCAATTCCTGGTTCAATTCAACTCGGCCAGAATTTCAATTCCCTTGTTAAGTGCCCTTGAAAATGGAAGAGCAATCCAACAACAAATTACATAAGTAATTACATCCTGCTCTGACCTGTTAGACAGGGGTATTCAAAAGAGTTGACCAGTAATCACTGAGAAGGGAGTAAAGTTTAAATGGGAGGACTTCACTGGGAGCAACTGGGGCAGGGAGGCAGGGTGAGAGGAGTGGACAATGGAAGAAAGGAACAGCTAACAACTGCACTCAGCTTTCACCCTTTGTGGTGTTCTAGAAAGGAATACCAGACCTCAGCTTCCATGCTTTGTAGTATTCAAGGAAGAGGATGCTGAATCTGCTTTATTTGGGTTGTATGGGAATAACTTCAGTTTACTTCCTTTTCCAGTTAAGGTCTTTCTTTTTCAAACAACAGATGTTGAGATTGACCATACACTTTGAAGAGTAGAGTACATTTTTTAAAGCACAAATGCACTTCTAAAGTACTTACACATTCTCCTAGGGAAAATCAATCAGCAAGAAGTTCTTGATCATGGACTATGTACTCTCAATTACTCTGAACATCGCGGGCAGAACAGAAAGAGCAAAACTAACATCTGTTAGTCAACAAATCACAATGCACGAAAAACTATAATTAAATGACAACCGTGTGACACCATCTAAATATCTGCTTTTATCACAGAGAGGTGGGGTGGGGGTGGTGAGGCGTATCGGACACAGTCTCACCCAATAAAAATCAAGACAAGATGATGGTTCTTGTTCTGTACACTTCTTACTTGAGCCCGACCAACCGCCAAGGGTAAACAAATGTAAGGGAAGGGAAGAAGAAGGTGCAGCAGGTAGCGGGGAAGGTCCTTTCAGAAAGCAGGAGTCACTCGGCATCTGGCTCCTTACTTTCAGGCAGCAAATATTTATTTAAACCTTTACCATGTCCAAAGTACAGCTTGCTGTTTTCGTTTTTCCTCCCAAATATTCTCTCCCCTCCTCCCCCCCGCCCCCAAGATGGATCAGTTGGAGCAGAGTGGGGCTACTGCAACATCAACACATCGCCTGAAGCACACGTGCACTGGGGCTCCCAAACCCCGAACCGCGCTCCGAGCCCTTCACCTGAGAAGTGAAGGGCCCTTCCAGTCCGACGGAGGACAGAAACACAGCGTGAATTAAGGCGGCGCCCAACACGGAGCAGCCCTTCAACTGGGGAAAGTCAGCAATCTCTGTCCAGAACGGCTCCCCGCGGCTCAAGCGTCCTTCTCCCTCCGCCTTTCCTCACCTGCGTCCCCTCCGTCCATCTCGGCCGGTCCGCCCTCCGCGCCGGCCCAGCCACCCCCAGCCAGCCGCACTTACCTCCCTCTCAGTCAGGTTCTTCTCCGGCCCCAGCAAGTAAGGGGTTAGGAAGGGCTCGGACGGCCTGAGGCTGGCGAAGAAGCCGTAGGCGCAGAGCAGCGCGGTGGGCAAGAACCAGCACTCGCGTGGGACCCGAGCAGTGCGCAGGAGCATGGTGGCCGCCGCCGCCCGCCGGGACTCCGGGCCGGGTACGACCATCCGGGGGGCGGGGACACGGCCCCTTCCTTCTTTTCCCTGCTGCCAACTAGAGTGAGGCTGAAGCGCTGTCCCCAGCGCAGACACCTGCAAATTGTAAGTGGCGCCTCCTCCCGGCAGGGGCAGGCAGTTCAGGGATAGCCACCTCCCACCGCAGCTCTTCCCAGGCTTTCCCGGCGCCCGGAGGCACACGTGCCGCCGCCCTCCAGCCGCAGTGCCGAAAACCAGCCACGCCCTCCGCCACCGCCTCCCTGCCGAGAACCAATCGGAGAGGACGCCGGGCAGTGGCTTCTCTCCCATTGGTCGGTGGCTCACAAGATGCGAACTCGGGTAGGCGGCGGCGGCGGGCGCGGTGGCACGCGTGACCGCTGACGTCCTCTGGCTCTGGAGCGGAGGACGTGTAGGACTCTGGTGAGAACGCGGTGATGAGAGGCGCGGGGGCGCGCTGCTCAGGCGGAGAACCCTCCGCCCACGCTGGAGGTCAGCTAGTGCATCCGCGGTGCTGCAACTCACAGGTCACGAATCCTCGGCGTGGGCCTCATCCCCAGCAGGAGGAACGTACTGTATCACAGTTAGCCTCTCATTCTTAACCATGGTCCCTCTTTGAACGTCTGTTCGGATTCTCTTTCCCAGGTGGCCAGCGCCAAAGATTTAACCTTGGGACGGGGGAATGATCTGCCTTTCTTCCAGCAGATTTCAGGCTCTTAAACTGTATTCATCTGCAGTAAAAAAAAAAAAAAAAAAAGTAGAAGCCCGGTGTCTAAGCGTTCTGAGGCTTTGACCAAGAGCCTGAGCAGGAAAAAGCAGATAAAATACTGTGAAAAGAATGAAAGAGCCAGTCACTTAAAGAGAAAGATGTCCTGGAGTCCTAATTTGAAAGTGTTTGGGCTTTATTTTGTTACAATTTGTAAGCGGAATACAATGAAAGCAAACATAGCTGTAAGTATAGCCAGTGTTTAAAAGATAAGGGGGAAATCCCGAGTCGTTATAGCAATCACGAATTACGATCTGTCTCTTCATTTAAAAAACCACAGCAGAGGTCTTGGCATAGTTTTCAAGGGCAAATCGTGTGAAGAATCCTCAATGCTTTCTTTCATTTCTCTCTCTAAGCCTTTTTCTGCCTGACTCAGCTTGACTGTATCCCAATCCTCCTACTGCAGACCACCTGCACCGTTTACAGCAATTTTCCCTGTGCTGTATTTACAGAGTAACAGATCTTAGCAGAAGCTCAGAGAAAACATTTTTAAACTGTTTTGCATAATATGTGTTAGACCTACCTAGCCCAGTTTTCCTCCTGAGTCAGCAAATGACAATTTCTGCAAAAAGGACACTTTTTGCAATAGCCACAAAAGTAACTCTACTAAATGAAACAACGTAAAGGAAAAGGAGATTTGTTTCTAAAATTGCACACGTTGATGCACCAAAGTATGTGAGTTGATGGGTCGCTGAAGAAACACAGTTGTTATACATCTATCAGTGGGTCTCAAAATGTGGTCCAGGAAGCCCTAGGGAACCTTGCCATCTTTCCAGAATTCCACAGGGTCAAACTACTTTTGTAATAATACTGAGATTTTATTTCCTTTTGCACTCTATAAAGACCACATGGTGTGTGATGACATTGTCACTCAATAGGCCAAGAGAATGTGTTTGTATATTTTCCTGTTTAAAAACTTTCCAGATTTAATTCTAATATGGCAACTATCAGTAGGTATGCATTTGTGCTCTGTGTGCTAAGTCGCTTCAGTGGGGACCAATTCTTTGCGACCTTATGGACTGTAGCCCTCCGGGCTCCTCTGTCATGGGATTCTTCAGGCAAGAATACTGAAGTGGGTTGCCATGCTCTCCTCTGGGGGATTTTTCTCTACCCAAGGAGGAAACCCTCCTCTCTTATTTCTCTTGCGTTGGCAGGCAGCTTCTTTACTGCTAGTGCCACCTGGGAAGCCTATCAGTAGGTATAACCCATAAAGTGAGCCTTTAGAAACTTCAGTAATAGGCAACTTGAGCCAAAAAACTAAGAACTACATAATACAATTATCTAGTCCCCTAAATTCCAGCCACAGTATCTGCCTTTCATTTTGATAACAGAGGGAACATCAGTGGTCCTCTTGGCAATTGCTTCACATTTACATTCATTGCTTTAGTAGAAGAGAAAGAAAGAGAAAAAGAAATGAGAGGCTTCAGGAGGAGAAGTCCACTTATTAAAAACAGCTTTCCATCCCTTCCCTGAGTCTTGGAGACCTGAGTTGTGTTCATCTGTAAATCGTAGTCCTGAAATTTTTCTTTGGTGTAAATCACTTAGACAATGTTGGGCATTAACAAATAATTGTTCTTGGATTAGTAGAGACTGTTTCGTTATTTTTCTCTAAGAGATCATGACAGAATTGTAAGAATGGCCCCCAGCAAGTTGGCCCTTGTATAATCCACACCCCTTTGAGTGGAGGGTGGAACCAGTGCTGTTAACCAGACAATACAACTGTTATAATGTATGGCCCACCTGAGATTATCCAGGTGGGCCCAGTCTAATCACAGGCGCCCTTTAAAAGCAGAGACTGTCTCCTGTTTGACGTAAAAGATATGCCACACTGTTTTTGGAGGGGGTTATGTGCCAAGGCACCCTGTGGCAATTGAGACTGACTCTTGGCTGACAGCCAGCGAGGAACTGGGGTTTTCAGTCCCACAATCAGGAGGAACTGAATCTGGCTACAAGCAAGCCTGAAAATGGATTCTTTCTCTGAGTTTCCAGATGAGAGCCCAGCCAACACCTTAATTTCTTCCTGTCATGCTTGAAACCACCCAAGACCCCTAGCCTTCTGATCTACAGAACTGTGAGCTATATTGTTATTTTAATTTTGTTAAGCTGCTAAATTTGTAGTGATTTGTTTTATAGCACTAGAAAACTAGTACAAAGGTAAATAGAATATATTTTTTAAAGTGAGGTAATGTTCACGTAATACAAGGTGACCCAGTAACTGTATTTAAGTGTACAACTCTGGTATTAGTACATTCACAGTGTTGGGCAACCATCACCTGTCTAGTTCTAAAACATTTCACCACCTCAAAGGAAACTTGTACCCCTTAAATATCACTCCCTATTCTTCCCTCCCCCTAGCCCCTAACAAACACTAATGTGCTTTCTGTCTATGGATTTAACTGTTTTGGATGTTTCGCATAAAAGGAAGCGTACAATATGTGAGTTTTGGTTTCTGCTTTCCTTCATTTAGCATAACATTTTCAAGGTTCATTGACACATGAATCATGTATCAGTACTCCATTCTTTTTATAGCTGAAAAATATTCCACTTTATGTATATAACACATTGTGTATCCATTCATCGACTGATAGACTTTTGGCTTGTTTCCCTTTTTTTGGCTATGAGAATAGTGCTGCTGTGAACATTTATGTGTAAGTGTTTGAATACCTGGTTTTAATTCTTTGGGGTATTTAGGAATGAAATTGCCAGATCACCTAGTAATTCTATGTTCAACTGTTTAAGGAATGACCAGACGGTTTTCTTCAGACCCTATACCATTTAACATTCCCACTAGCAATGTGTGAGAATCCCAATTACTCCACATCTTTGGCCAGCACTTGTTATTTTCCTTCTTTCAAATATCCATCCTAGGGGTGTGAAATAGTGAATAGTGACTGTAATTTGCGTTTCCCTAATATGACTAATGATATTGAGCATCTTTTCATGTGTCTGTTAGCTGTTTGTATAGCTTCTTTGGAGCAAGGTCAATTCAAATCTTTTGCCCTCTTTATAACTGGATTGTTTATCTTTTTGTTCTTGAGTCGTAAGAGGCTTTTTTTAATATATTATGAAAAGTAGAGCCTTGTAAGATACGATATGCAAATCTTTTGCTCATTCTGTTGATATAAATAGAATATTGAGAGACATTTTTTCTCTAGTCAGATGGTCTCCAACTTCGTAATGAGTCAGCTTAATGGTTTTTTGACTTTATGATGGCATTCTGTAGAAGTTGTACTTGGAATTTTGAATTTTGAGCTTTTCTGCAGGTACTGTTGGCTTACCTGGTGGCTCAGTGATAAAGAGTATGCCTGCCAAGCAGGAGACCCAGGTTCGAACCCTGGGTCAGGAAGACCCCCTGGAGAAGGAAATGACAACCCACTCTAGTATTCTTGCCTGGGAAATCCCATGGACAGAGGAGCCTGGCGGGCTACAGTCCATGGGGTCACAAAGAGTCAGACACAATTTAGCGACTGAACAAGAACAAGGGGCTCACATGTGTGGTTCTCTCTTGTGATGCCAAGGAGCTGCTGCAGCCAGAGCCCCAAGTCAGCCAGGTACTCATGAGGGTGACTAACCAACACACATAGCCATTCCACACCCATTCTGCTCTTCATTTTCAGTAAGCATCTAATAAACTAATGAGATATTCAACACTTTTATTATAAAATAGGCCTTGTGTTAAATGATTTTTCCCAATTGTAGGATAAAATCAGTGTTCTGAACATGTTTAAGGTTGGCTAGGCTAAGCCATGATGTTTGGTAGGTGTATTAAATGCATTTTTTAACTTAAGATATTTTCAACTTACAATAGGTTTCTTGAGATGGCCTCATTGTGTAAGCTAGGAAGATCTATATATGAAAGAATGAGGGAATGTGTGTTTTGCAAAAGTAGAATTATATTATGTACCCTTTTGAATCTTGCTTTTTCTCAGGAATAATTCATGGAAACCATTCCATGTAATAAGGTTAAGCTTTAATTCTTTCTAATATTCCATCGTGTAGGTGTACTAAAATTTATTCAACTATTCCCTTTTATGGTCATTTTGCTCTGTTTTTAGTTTGTTTGTTTGTTTGTTTTTTGGTCACTGCCAAACAATGCTGCAATTAACATCCTTGTACAATATGTGTTTGTGTATTGTTTTCTTTGTATGGAATTTATTCCTAGGAGTAGGATAACTCCTAAATCAGAGTTACATATTTTTAGTAGACATTGTTCAATCACTTTCTTTAAAAGCTATAATAACTTACAATT